AGAAAGATGATAACTTGTGCATTATTGATTATATAAGGGCTTTCAGTTCTGTGGATGATAACAAACTATGGACGATATTGCAGAGAAACAGTATCTTGGAACAAATTCACTGTGCTCAAGAGGAACCTATATATAGACCAAGAGACAGTTGTTCAGAAAGAAGAAGGGAACACTGGATGGTTTACAATTAAGAAAGGTTTTCGCCAGGGTTGTACTCTTTTACACCATACTTATTTAATCTATATGTTGAACACATAATCTAAGAAGCTGGATTATATGACGAAAAACATGTCATCAAGATTGGAGAAAGATTAACTATCTGTGATATACAACCTTGCTTGATGAAAACTAAGAGTACTTAAAATACTAACTGATAACTATCAAAGACCATAGCCTTCGGTAAGGATTACATCTCAACATAAAGAAAACAAAAACCCTCACCACTGGACCAATAAGTAACATCAAGATAAATGGAGAAGACATTAAAGTTGTTAAAGATTTCATTTAGCTTGGATCCACTGATAAAAGCAGCACTCAAGAAATCAAACGATGTATTGCTTTAGGCAAAAACTCTTTAAAGTGTTCAAGAGCAGAGATGTCAATTTGAGGACTAAGGTGCGCCTGACCCAAGCCAGAGTATTTTCAATAACCTCATACACATGTGAAAGTTGAACAGTGAATAAGGAAGGCCACAGAAGAATTGATGCATCTGAATTATGGTACTGGAGAAGAATATTAAAAGTACCATGGACTGCCAAAAGAACAAATAAATCTATTTTGGAAGAAGTATAGCTAGAATGCTTTTTAGAACCTAAGATAGCCAGATTTCATCTCTCATACTTTGGACAAATAATCAGGAGGAACCAATCCTTGGAGAAGGACATCATGTTTGGTAAAGTGAAGTATCAGAGAAAAATGGATTGTCACACTCGCAGAAGCAATGGGCTTAAGCATAGCAAAGACGGTGAGGTTGTTGCAGGACCAGGCAGTGTTTCATGTTGTGCACAGGGTTGCTACGAGTTGGTAACAACTCAATAGCACCTAACAATAACAATGATAATCTAATTTCTTTTAGTAATAATTTACAGTTGTCAGTGTTCAAATAGTTTGTATTGTTTTTTATTACTAGATATTTTATTTAGACCCGATTATAAGAAATTGCTTTGTTAATTTACTTTACAGAATGCTCATGGCCAAAGTATAGAAATGTGACTTATTTTTGTGAACTTACCTTGTATTCTGCCAATTTGCTGAATTCATTTATTAGCATTAATACCTGTCTTATGAAATCTTTAAGGAGCTCTTGAGGCATAGTGGTTGCAAGTTGGACTTGCAGTTCAAAACTGCCAGCGGTTCCATGAGAGAAATAAGCGGCTTTCTGCTACCGTAAAAATTTACAGCCTCAGAAACCCTATGCAGGGTCGCTACAAGTTGGAACCGACTCCACAGCACATCCACCACCATGGAATCTTTGGGATTCTCTATATGCATCATTAAGTCATCTGCAAAAGGGTTTGTTTGGATAGCTTTTACTTCTTTATTTGCCTAATTGCTCTTGGCAGGACTTCCAGTACATTACTCAATAGTACTGGTAAGAATGGACATTCTTGTCTTGCTCCTGATATTAACATTAACCTTTCAATCTCTCTCCATTGAGTGTCATGTTAGCAGTGATTTTTTTAAAAAAAATAAATGTTGTTCATCATACTAAGAAATTTTCCTTCTACTCCAAGCTGGTTGAGTGTTGAAAGGGTATACTATTTTTCAAATGCCTTTTCTGTATCAATTTTGATGTCATGGGGTTCTTTTTCCTGTGTTCTATTAATGTAGTAAGGAGCTCTGGTAGCGTAGTGGTTACGAATCGGGCTATGAACCACAAGGTCAGCAGTTTGAAACTATAAGCTGCTCGGCGGGAGAAAGATAAGGCTTTCTGCTCCCGCGAAGCCTCGGAACCCTGTACAGGGTCGCTATGAGTCGGAATCGGCTCCACGGCACATAACAACAACAACAATTAATGTAGTATATTACATATTTAATTTTCTAATGTTGAACCTCCCTTCCATTCCTGGGATAAATCCTACTTGGTCATAGTATGTAATCCTTTTGATATGAGGAGGTTTCAAAAAGTTTATAGAAAATTCCATTGCCTTTTAATTACATTTTCATGCAAACTTTTGAAGCCCCTTCGAATTCTCTTGGTCTTGGTTTGGTAGTTTTTGCTGAGAAATATTTTTGCATCTCTCTCTGTATATAGGATATCGGGGTCATAGTTTTGTTTGTTGGTTTTCTTGTAATTTCTTTGCCTGACTTTGGTATCATAGCAATCAACTTGTAATAAGTTTATTATTTATATATACTATAATTTTTTGAAAAATTTCTCTTCATTGTACTTTGCTGTTTATCACTGAGACATGTATTATTTTCTCATTAAATTTTCAAGATCTCTTTATAAAAAAATTAATCCAAAATTGAAATTATATTCCTTCAAGATTTTATTTCCTTATAATCTCATTGCTGTGTAGAAACTTTTATTAATACAGTAAAAGCTATTAATGTTTTTCTTTTGGTATAACACACAATCTCCCTCTGACTCTAAAAAGCAGTAACATGTAAATGACAAATGTGAAACAAATATGTAATTGACATTTTCTAGTGCCCACATTTTAAAAAGCAAAAAGAAACAGGTGACTGAAGAACTGGATGGTCCCTGGCTACCATTTCTGAACATTTTGATCAAAGATTCTATAAGAGAATCCTAATCAAAAGGGAGAAAGTACACAACTTTAAAATTCTCATGGAATCAAGACTTTCTGGAGTCACAGATGGTGGATGAACCCCAAAACTATTGCCCTACAATAATAGTTAAACTTTAAACCAAAAATATACCCTGAGAACTTTTTAAAACCAGACAATAGTTTAACTCAACTAGTAAGAATTATCTGCCTTAAGCATTATGTGGTCTTTTAATATGGGAATCAAACTGAAAACAGCAACTTAAAAAGATTACATAGGAACCTTAAGAGGCAGTGAGTATATGTTAATGGAAGAGGAACAATTCAGAACAGGAGGGTCAGAATGATTACACAACTCAAAATATGTCACCAATGTTGATGGGCTGCAGTAGAGTTTGGTTCTACTCTTCCTTCTGTAGTCAGGAGGTCAGCAATGGCCCCCTTACTATTTTTGAATCTACTGATCCTGCGAGGTATCAGCAGCCTGCTATCTTACCTGCTGACCTTGGATTCATTCACCTCTGCAGCAATACATCTGCCATCTGATCTGCTAACCTTGGGCTCATCAGCATATATATATAGTCCTGGTGTAGTGCTGTGGATTAATGTGCTGGACTGCAAAATCACTTTGAACAGCAAGGTTGGCGGTTCAAATAAGTATAAATTCAGTGTCTATTTTATACTTATTTAATAAAAAGTATACTTTTTTTATAAATATAAAAGATACTGAATTTCAAAAATTAGCTCTAAGAGTATGAATATGATAATTTTTATAATGATTAGATGCTAAAATGCAATTTAGATATATCAGTATTTTAAGCTAGATTCTCTATAGAAACAAAACAAGGGAAGCTTATAGATCTGGTATGGTGCTGTGGGTTAATACGTTGAACAGCAAGGTTCATTTGAACCACAAGGTCAGTGCTTCATTCTCATCAGCTGCTCCTTGGAAATCCTGTACAAGGTCGCTATGAATCAAAACCTACTCAACAGCACGTAACAACAACAACATCTTATATTTACAGCACATCTCAACTTTGGTATTTCAGTATACAATAGCCACATTGGCTAGGGGATGCAATGTAGAACAATGTAATTTCTAAAATATACAAATTCACTAATATTTTTCTTACAACATTTTGTTTTATATTTTCCTCCATCTGACATCTATTTGGTGCCAGGTATGAAATAAACTCCAACATCATTTGCACCAAAACCAAACTAACTATTTTGCCCCATTAATGTAAACTGCCAGACTCTATACTAAGTATGGACTCCTGGTGTGGCCCTGCAGGATCAGCACTGGACTATGAACTACAAGGATTAGAGTTCAAATGCACTAGCTGCTCCTTGCAAACCCTATACAGGTTCGCTGTGAGTTGGACCCAACTTAACAGCATGTAATACCAGCATACTAAATATATAATTGGGTCTAGTCCTAGATCCTAATATGTTATGTTCCTGGAGTCCTGGTATGGTGCTGCGGGTTAATGCACTGCACTGCAAGATCAGCTTGAACCACAAGGTCGGTGGTTCAAGCTCACCAGCTGAATCCTTGAAAATCCTAGACAGGGTCACTATGGGTTGGAACCAACTCAAAGGCATTTAATTACAACAACATGTTCCTATATGAGTATTAACACACATTTCAAGTATCTGTAGCTTCAGAATTTATATCACTTATACTGTCTTATCCTCATTCCTCTTTTCCTTGATAATTTCCCTATATTTTTGCCTTTAAATAAAGTTTAGAACAATATTCAAGGGTAACCATTCAAACAGATTTTGAAAAGGATATGTTCAATATAGAAATTAATTTGGGCAAATAAATTTTTCACAACAGAAACACTTCTATTTAAAAGTATGGAAGTCATCTCTGTGTATTTCCATCTGTATAATTAAGCAAGTTTGGATTTAATGATCTTCATATAGACCTTACACATTTCTTACATTTCTTCTAAGTTACTTTGTATCACAATTACTTTACAAAGAAACAAACAGAAACATGGAAATATGTAGAACATGGAAAAACATAGAACATAGGAAATGGTGATATTTGTGTATATAAAAATCAATATTCTTTGTTACTCTGACTTTGCACAAAGCAAAATATACTTATTAATATGAGGGGTATCAATAAAGTCATGGAAAAAGGGAATTAAAAGATAATGGAATTTTCAAATACCTTTAAACTTTTTGAAGTCTCCTCCTACAATACAACTGCATAGAATAATCTTTTCAGTTTAATCACCTTAACCAATTGCTTACTTGCAATGCCAGATGCATCTCCAATCCCCAAAGGTAAGATCTGTCTTATCTGGATTTGCCTCTTCATTTACCTTCTCCAGATTAGCATTGGACCAGAGTTGCAAACAGCTGGAACCAGTTAGAAGACGACTACCTAAAAGAAACCATTCACCATTTATTTTTTTAGGTCATAATTACATGCAGTTAGGTTACATGCTCAAGGTTTTCAAAGGGTGATAAAACTTATTTAAGAACGTCAAATAATAAAAAATATCTATAAAAAATATACTTTCATGTTTTTGAAGAAGCAGCTTGAAAAAGTACTGAAAAACTCTTATTTTCTCTCAATTAACCACCAGTTAATGAGCATCTTCTTTGTACCAGGCCCTGTGCTAGGCACTGAGGATACAATGACAAATAACATACTGTCCTTTTTCATTACCCCACATTCCAGTAGGAAGACATAAAAAATATTATGATTCCATGTGAAAGTATTATAGACATATTAGACATGTGTGCAGAGTTCTACAGAAACCCAGAGGACAAATAAATTACGTGTCAGAGAAAGTAATGAGATGTAACCTGGTCCTTAATAGAAGAATAAGCAGTTGAGATAGGATTTTATAGTTCAAAGGAGTTTGCAATTTATGTTATAGGTTGGGAGTTAATGGCAAGGGTATCAGAATTGGGAGTCCTGGTGCGGCACTGCAGGTTAATGCACTAGATTGCAAGGTCGGTTTGAGCCACAAGGTTGGCAGTTCAAGTTCACCGGTCACTCCTCGGAAACTGTATACAGAATTGTTATGAGTTGGAATCAACTCGACAGCATTTAACAACAACAAACAGATAATTGGATTTGTGTTTTCAAGACTAGACAACAAAAAAATAGAAACGACATTTCATGGAAATATTCCAACTTTACGACTTGGTAATTGAATAGAAGGCTATACTATCACGTAAAGAATATAAGGGATAAGAAGCAAATTTGGGCACAAAAAAAACGAAAACAATTGGCAACACAAAGTATTCGCCTCTGCAATTAAAGACTATGGATTTGTGTGTCTCTGGAATGACCACTTTCTTATTTTGAAAAGAAATCTCTGACTTCCGGTTTGCCAGGGCGGCCAGACGGTGCGAGTGAGTGGGGGCTCCGGGATGGGGTGGGGGGGGAAGCTCGAGAGTTGAGCATACCAGGTGGGAATTCACAGTCTCACGGCCCACGTAAATCTTAGTGCGCCAGAGCCTTAGACCCGCTTCTTTGAGAAATCACTGTGCAAGGAATTACAGGCTTTTTAAAAGGGCACCGCGGCATCCCCAGCTCCTTTGGGCTTGGGGGGGCAGGGCGAGAACCAGCTCGTGTGGAACCTCCAGTGGCTGGGAGACTCAAACAGGGAGAACCACTGGTGACACCTACCCCAAGGGGGGATTTCTGCACATACAGTGGACAGAGGGAAGTTATCTAAGGAGAGGAAAAGGAAAAATTAAAAATCTTGCAGAAAAAAGAGAAGTGGCGACTGTCTGACGTCATCAGGCGCGGACTGTGCCTGCCTGAGCCACTTCTGCCCTGCCCAATTGACCTGTGTGTTCCCGGGGCCCGCCGGGCGCGCAAGCACACAGGCGAGCAGCTACCAGCCTGCCCAAGCCGTGTACCGCGGGCCTGCCAGACGCGCGAAAGCTAGCGACCCGCCTCCCGCTGAACCAAGCAGCATCCCTCAAGTGCCTACTGGGCCTGCCTGAGCCACTTCTGCCCTGCCCAATTGACCCATGTGTTCCCAGGGCGCGCCGGGCGCACACGCACACAGGCGAGCAGCTGCCAGCCAGCCCGAGCAGCATACCGCGGGCCTGCCAGACGCGCAAAAGCGAGCGACCCGCCTCCCGCTGAACCGAGCAGTGTCCCTCAGGCGCCGACTGGGCCTGCCTGAGCCACTTCTGCCCTGCCCAATTGACCCGTGTGTTCCCGGGGCCCGCGGGTGCACGCGCACACAGGCGAGCAGCTGACAGCCTGCCCGAGCCACGTACCGCGGGCCTGCCAGACGTGCAAAACCTAGGGACCCGCCCCCCGCTGAACCGAGCAGCGTCCCTCAGCCCTGCCGGGCGTGCGCTGGCAAAACAGCTCACTTCATGCTCAACTGAACCGCGGAGCGCGGGGGCAGGCAGCCAAACTCCTGCCGCGAGCACCCACTGGGGAGCCCCATTTGGGTCCCCCCTTTATTTTTATTATTATCTTTTATCTTGGAGGGTTCAGCAGGAGCCCCGACGTGGCCATGAGGGCTGGGGTGCCACTACAAGGTCACCTGAATTACAAGGTCAGGGGTCCACGCCCACCAACCGCTCCTCAGAAACCCTATAAAACAGCATTAGGGGAGGGACGTCCGGCGCTTACCTGACCCAGGAACACAGGCTAGCCCACTGCCTAACCTCCAAGGCTCAAACCCTACCAGCAAGGCACAAGCTGGCATTAGCCGGCACAAGGGGAGACGCCCTGAGGAGATTTGCACCAAGAGCAACAAGGCAATTCTGCTGTGCACTGGCAGATTAAGGGACTAGACTGCAGAAACCTTTGAACTGTAGGGTCGGAAGTTCGGGCCCACCAGCTGCCCCTTAGAAACCCTATTAAGGATACATGGTTTGGCTTTCCTCTCTTTCTTTCTTTTTTGCTCTGCGGGTTAAGGGACCAGACTGCAGAGCACTATGAACAGCAAGAACGGTAGACTGCCCCCACCAGCTGCTCCTTATAAAACCGATAAAGGGTTTTTTTTGTTGTTGTTGTTGTTTTGTTTTTTTTTCTTTGCTATGGTTTGTTTTTACTATTATTACTTTTTTTTCCTTTTCCTCTGTTCTCTTTCTTTTTGTATGTGTGACTAGAAGCCGCCTTGTTTAATCTCATTTTTTCTGGGGCTGAATCCTTTCTCTCTTTTCTTTTTCTCTTTCTTTTGTTTTTAATTTCTGTCCCTTCTTTCATGCGGTTGTTCTTTTTTGTCTTGCTTCATTATTATCTCATTATAGCTTTTGTTTGTTACTTTGCTTCTGATTTTGTTTGCTACCCAACTGGTGTTGCTTGGAGGACACATAGCCTCCCTTCCACTATCGGAAAACCCCAATTTTGATTTTGATTTTGAGTTTGGCTTTGTTTTCTACCCGACTGGAGTTGTTTGGCTGCCACATAAAAGATTAAAAAGGGAAGACCACACCCTACTGGAGGCAATCAGAAAACACAAAAAATTACCAAACTACATAATTAATTATTAGGGCCACAGACAAACAGTAAACATGCCCAAACACAAAAGCAGATGTCCATAGCGGCACATGTCCAAAAAAAA